ACACGCTCACCCTTTCAGGACACCCCCAGATGGAGCAGGCTTGCTCACCTGCCACTTCCTTGCCCACCCCACAGGGAAGCTCTGAGGTAGTCATTTTCCTTCCAGAGGAACAGCCCAGGCAGGTCTCTCAGTCCCAAAGAACGGCCACTAGAATTGAGTCCCATCCAACAGTTGTCCAAAGCCTACTCTCCCAGAGGCCACCCTGTCTGCCGAGTACCCTGCCCTATGGTAGTGGGAAGAGAGTTCCGAGCCTTTCAGCCGCATGCCTCCCACTGGCTGGGAGCCCAGCATCTCCCTCCTCCTCAGTCTGCCCCACACAGCTGGGCACGGGGCTGCGTACAGAAGCAGCTCAGAGCGCTCTCCCTGGTGGCTGAGCGGTTCCTCTGGGGACAGTCTGTGAGGTGAAAGGGGCCATGAGGATGTGGGGCCAGAGTAGAAGGGAGAAGAGAGGCCAGGACTTAGCTCACCTCTGCCTCCCCTGCAACCTTCCTCCCCTGACTGTTCAGTAAAACGAGTGTTCACTTACACTGTGCATGCCTCAGGGTAGATGGAGGCCTGGCATACCTTGCAGAGGCCACCCGCCCTTACCCAGGGTCCCGCACAGTCTTACTCACAGTAGGTGCGTAATAAACAGTTGGGGTCCAGGAAAGATAAGACTCACTCTATCAAGAGACATACCAAGTCCCAGAGAGGCTCCCTGGAGGAGGTGGGATTGGAGTGGGTCCCCCTACCGGGCTCTAGACAACACCTGCCCTCCTGCCCCAGGATCATCGATGGTGTGACCTACCCAGGGAACATCAGGGAGAAGATTGCAGCCCAAGAGCAGTACAGCGCGGCTGTGGCCAGGGGAGAGAGCGCTGGCCTCGTCAAGTGAGCCTAAGGAGGCGATGGGGACCCCGGTGGGGAGGGGGCAGAAGCTTGCCCTGTCTTTAGTTCTGTTCCTGCCTCCAGTGTCCATACCCCGCCTGGTCTGGAGGGGCAGACCTGATGCCCTTCTCCCCCAGGGCCACTGGGAGAAAGGTGGAGCAGTTCCAGGTATCGGTCAATGTGGCTCCTGCTGCCAAGGTCACCTTTGAGCTGGTGTATGAGGAGTTGCTCAAGCGGCATCTGGGAGCATATGAGCTGCTGTTGAAAGTCCGGCCCCAGCAGCTAGTCAAGCACCTGCAGGTACCTGGTGCTGCCTCCTCCCAGGAGGCCTCCCAGATGAACCCTGTGCTGCTGAGGGTACCCCCCTCTTTCTCCCTCTTCCTCCTGTGAGGCCCAGCCCTGACTCCTGGCTAACCCAGTGACCCACCTCTTGCCTCCAGATGGACATTCACATCTTCGAGCCTCAGGGCATCAGCTTTCTGGAGACAGAGAGCACCTTCATGACCAATGAACTTGAAAAGGCCCTCACCATCTCACAGAACGAGACCAAGGTGGGCCTGCCACTGTTGGCGGGTGAGGGTAACAAGGGGCCTATCTGTAGGCCAGCCCTACGAGCCTATATTTCTAGAGAGTGGGACAACTGGGCAGAATCTCTAAGTTGGATGGACTTCTTAGGTCTCTGTGTCCATGTTCACATATGGCAGACAGGGAAGGCAAGGCCTAGAGGAGGGTGCTGGTTTGAACCCTGAGATCAGGGGAGAAGGACAGTGATGTGAAGGTCCCAGGACCGGGGGAAAGGAGGAGGTAGCTGGATCATACACATCCTGAGCCCAGCTTCTGCTTGCACAGCTCCAGGAGCAGGGGCTCTGTGCTCACACCCCACTCACTGTATTGAGGCCGTCTGTCTGACAGCCCAGCCTGAGAGAAAGTTCCCAAGGCTGCACCCTGGAATTCGCACTTCAGATGGGGTGAGGGGCACTGTTGGCATGACCTCGTTGCTCCTCCCAACTTCAGCCAAGTTTTTTCTCCAGGCTCACATCCGATTCAAGCCAACACTCTCCCAGCAACAGAATTCTCCAGAGCTACAGGACACAGTCGTGGATGGCAACTTCATCGTCCGCTATGACGTGAACCGGACCCTCTCTGGAGGTTCCATTCAGGTGTGTGGGCTCCAGGGGAGAGCAGAGTAACCAGGAAACCCATCCATCCTCAAGAGCCTGGACCTGGGTGTTCCAGAAGAAAAAGCAAAACACTGTTCCTGCTCATCGGTGTGCACCAACGGCAGCACAGGCAGAAAACAAGCAGTTTAGTTATGCTGTGCCTGAAAGAATTCCCTTTCAGAGGCAGAAAAGTTTTGTCTCTGCTAAAGAACTGCCCTGCAGGGTTTCCCTTGTAGCCTTGGCTACCAGGAGGCTCACAGATCAGTTTTTATGCTCAATTGCAGTAGCTTATTTCACAAAAGTTCTGGCATCATTGTGCTTCTCCTTTACTCTTTTGATGGAATTTGTTTTTGGAGTCTTCTTTTGATGGATCTCAGGTGTATTAGGTTTGAGCCTTTTAGTATAAACTACCTCAAATATTCAAACAAATAGGAGGTAAGGTGGAGGTAGAGTTCTGGTGGGCCATGCATGAACAGGGAAGCTTCAGCAAGAGAGTGGCTAGACTGAGTCCTAAAAGATGGTGAGGATTTGAGGAGGTTGACAATGGGACAGAGATGGAGGGGCTTAAATGAAGAGAGCATGGGACCCAAGGATTTGGGGTGAGGAAGCTGGGTGGGGGCAGGGCAGGGCTGCAGCTCTCATCACCTGGGGGGCGTCTCACTTTGGTCACAGATTGAGAATGGCTACTTTGTGCACTACTTTGCCCCCGAGGGCCTGTCCGGGATACCCAAGAATGTGATCTTTGTCATTGACAAGAGTGGCTCCATGAGCGGCAAGAAAATCCAGCAGGTGGGTCCCATGGGCCAGGCGGGGCCCTGAAAACTCAGATGCCTTACACCATCAGCTCTGGTCCAGCAGGCAGACCCTCCCTCCTCCATCTTCCTAGGTAGGGGGTTCCAGGGGTCAAGGTTGGTCAGAGTATGGGGCTGGTCCTGCCCCTAGAGCATTCACCATGTCCGCACTCCAGGTGCGGGCCTGGGGGTGCAGCCCGAGGGCACATGAACCCCCAAGAAGCCCCCACGGAGATACCCATCTTGTCTCCCCTTCCCTTGATCAGACCCAGGAAGCCCTGATCAAGATCCTAGAGGACCTCAGCCTCAAAGACCAGTTCAACCTCATTAGCTTCAGCGGGGAAGCAACCCAGTGGAAGCCATCGCTGGTGCCAGCTTCAGCCGAGAACGTGAAAGAGGCCAAGAGCTATGCTGCCAACATCCACGCCCAGGGAGGTAAGTGCCATGGCAGCCCTGCAGGGTGGGGGCTCCCGGGCACTGAGCCCCGCCTGGGAGCCATCCTTAGAGTGTGTGTCCCTCAGGCACCAATATCAACGACGCGATGCTGATGGCCGTGCAGCAGCTGGACAAAGCCAACCGGGAGGAGCTGCTGCCCTCGGGGAGCGTCTCCCTCCTCATCCTCCTCACTGATGGCGACCCCACCATGGGTGAGGGCACTGCCAGCAACTCCGGGGCACATGCCCAGAGGGAGCAGCTGGGCTCCACCCTGGCTTGCTGCGGGACCTGGGGAAGGGAGGGGGTTCCTGAGGCCTCACTGGCTCTGAGATTCCAAAAATATCCCTTGAGCAAATCACTGTTTTCTCACCCTTGTCCCAAACCGTGCTGGGTCCAGGTGAGACCAACCCCACAAAGATCCAGAAGAATGTGCAGGATGCCATCAACGGCAAGTATAGCCTCTTCTGCCTGGGCTTCGGCTTCGACGTCAGCTACGCCTTCCTGGAGAAGCTGGCGCTGGACAACGGCGGCCTGGCCCGGCGCATCTACGAGGACTCGGACTCCTCCCTGCAGCTGCAGGTGCCAGCCGGCCCCTGGGGCTGCGTGAGTCGGGGATGGCCCAGAGAGGGGGCAGACCTCACCCAGCTCCTGCAACCCCCTCCACCCCACCCTGCAGGACTTCTACCAGGAGGTGGCCAACCCACTGCTGACAGCGGTGACCTTTGAGTACCCAAACAATGCCGTGGAGGAGGTCACAAAGGACAACTTCCGGCTGTTCTTCAAGGGCTCAGAGATGGTGGTGGCTGGAAAGCTCCGGGACCAGGACTCTGATGTGCTCTCAGCCAAAGTCAGTGGGCAGCTGGTGAGTGTGGCCAGCCATCCTGGAGGGGAAGGGTGGCTGGAGCAGGCTCAAGCCTCAGCCCTGTTAGACTCCAGCCGACTGGCCTTGAGCAAGTTACCAAGTGCTCCCTGCCACCGTGGATAACATTAGTCTCCACTGCATGGGCTGGGGTGGGCATTCAATATGATAATGCCATGATTCTCCTGAGAGCACCTGCACTTACCCGCATGTGGTAGGCACTCCGTTGTCAGTCTGTGCTGCTGCTGCTGTGCCTGAGGGCACCAGGTGCCTGGCATCCTCTCCGTCCTCACACCAGCCCTCTGAGGTTGCAATCAGGTGGGGAGGGCTGCTCCCACTTCACAGATGAGCAGACTGAGGTCCAACTTGCCATGGGTCCCACTGCAGCCAGGTAAAGAGCTCAGCTCACCAGATGGTGCCCTGTCCTTGCCCAATCCACCCTGCCTCTGTGCCACAGGGGCCCCTCTCATTCCACAAAGAGAAACTGAGCACCTATGCTGAGCCAGATCCTTCTCCAGGCCCTCGGGGTACTACCCTTATGGGAGAGGCAGTGTGGGTAAATCATTGCACAAACAAGGATGGGTAGCCCGGGGTGTCCCTGAGAGAATAAGCCCAAGGACTCAGGGAAGCAGCATGGGAGCCCCAACCTGGCCTGGGGTCAGGGAGAGCTTCCTAGAGGAAGCTTAGCTGAGACTGTGGGAGTAGGAGGTGGCAGACGCCAGGTGGTAAAATGATGGAGGGATGTTTCAGGCTTGCATGGCAAGTAGACAAGGCAGGCAGGCAGGCATGGTGGGCCCAAGGCTGAGTCTCAGAAGACGTAGCCAAGTGTCACGATGAGCAGTGCATGCAGGGTGACCATAAGCCTGGCTTTAAACCCCTCTCTGTCACCTCCCAGGGGTGAGGCCTGGGGAGTCACCTAAGCTCCTGTGCCTCAATTTCCTCCTGTGTGAAAATGAGAATCTGTCATCTTACCCACCTTGTAGGACTGCTGTGGGGATTAGCATCTGGCCCAGGGTGAACATGCCATACATTTTAGCTGCTGCTGTTATCCTAGAGACCAGGAGTTGCCAAAGTGAGGAACTCAAACTGACTGGGGGGGGTCACAGCATGTCTTTGTTTTAGTGATTATGTATTTACCTTAATGTGTCTTCTGAAAAATAGAACTCAAACCCCAGACCTAGGGTTTCACAGATATTGTTGCATGGGACGAGGCCAAGTGAAGTATGTTAGTCTATTTAAAGTTCATTTAAGGAAAAGCACCAACTAAATAGCTGTAGGGTGGATAGGACCACATTTGTGCAGGTGGCCTGCAGGTAGCAAAGGTTTGGGAGGCCTAGCTCTGGTGAGAGACAGGAGAGAGTGTTCCCAGCAGCGGGGATGGGATCCAATCCACATTGTAAAGGTTTTGGGCTGCTATGGGAGTTGTGACAAGAGAAGGCTGGAGTTCCTCTGCCCCAGACCCCATTTCCCAGGCTGCTGGCCAGGTCAGCCTGAGACCAGAAGGCCCCACCCTGGGGCAGGAAGCAGCAATCCATCCAGAACTTGGGCACACACCTCGCTGTCAGCCCCAACCAGATTTCTCATGGAAGTACCAGGCCAGGTGCGGATGTCAGGCCCTCACTACTCCTGTCCTGGCTGGGCCCCTCTTTCCAGCCCATGCAGAACATCACCTTCCAAACGGAGTCCAGAGTGACAGAGCAGGAGGACAAGTTCCGAAGCCCCAAGTACATCTTCCACGGCTTCATGGAGAGACTCTGGGCATACCTGACCATCCAGCAACTGCTGGAGAAAATGTGGGTGGCCTGCACCCCCAAGGGCCCACACATGGCCTCAAGGCCTCCTGAAGTGCCTCACGGGGGGGCAGCACAGCTGGTATGGGGCATCTCCTAGGCATGGAGAGAGGGGGTCATGGTGTGGTATCTGAACTCCAGACTCTCCCAGCAGGAGCAACCACCACTCCCCTTGCCCCCAAGGGTCTGGAAGGGAAGGGGGTGAAACTAGGCATCCAGGGACCTGCTGAGCCTCTGATGCTCTCAACCTGCAGGGTTTCTGCATCAGATGCTGATAAGAAGGCACTCAAGACCCAAGCTCTGGGCTTGTCGCTCAACTACAGCTTTGTCACCCCCCTCACATCCATGGTGGTCACCAAACCTGAAGGCCAACAACAGTCTCAAGTTGCTGAGAAGCCCGTGGAAAATGGTGGGTGTGAGAATGGGCTCCTAGCCTCTGTGGCAACAGAGTTTTGACCCAGTGCTCTTCCCAGCCCTTCCCCCACATCCTGACCAAGACCCTGACCCTGTCACACAGACTCCCAGGACCCCCAGGAGATGCATCCCATTTCACTGATGAGGAAACTGTGGCCAGGTCTCCCAACCCTCCCAAGTTCACTGCACCCATGTAGTGCTGGGGTTGGGAAGCAAGTTTAAATAAGCACTTCAATTTTTTCAAAACTACCCAATAGTATGTATCTCTCTCCCCCCATTACTTTTTTGTTTTATCCAGAAAATGGACACAAGAAAACTCGCCCAGGTAAGGGCCTAATACCCTCAAAGGCTGGCCTTGGTGACAGTTGGCTGATACAGGACCTAGGACACCAGTCCCACAGGGTCGCTGGCCAGGGCCTCTCCAGCCCAGCCCTGCTGCCAGGAGGGGACATTGTCTACCCAAACATGTTGGTGCATTTAGTCACCTGTTCATTCAGATATTGGCTACCCTGGGCACTAGGGGCACAGTCCCCATCCAGCTGGCTGCACACCCAGGCCTCTCTGATTTCCAGGTCAATCTTCATTCAGACTTCACGCCATGGCACACAGAGGGTCCAGAAAACCAGGTAGCAAAGGAGGAGGGGGAGGGGGAGGGGCGATTGATACAACCTTGACCCTGACCACAGACTGGGCTCTGCCCTGACTGTGGGTGAGTGGGTTGTGTGGCTCACCTGGCTGGTGGCAGAGATGGGACTCAAGTTCAGGTGTGTCTGACTAGGAGGCCGCTCTGCAGTAACTTTTCTCAGTGGCAGAAAAGGCCTTAGAGGACAAGGTATTTTGAGGAGCACCTCCTTGGGGTGGCTGATATCCCAGGGGGAGGAGTTCAAGAAGGGTCCATTTTTCCAGCTTTGAATTTCTCCTGGCTGTGTGGGGAGAGGCTCTCAAAGTGGTGGGTGTGGGGAAGGGAGCCATCTGCCCTCTCTACATACCTTTCCTGGGGTGAGTCCTAGAGCCCTGGCAGTGGGGACCCATGACACTGCTTGAGCGAAGACACTGCTTGAGCTGGACCTTCCACATCCTCTGTAGTCCATATGATGGTACCCAGCCTCTTTAAATCTGGATCGCCTGGACCTGTTCATTCTCAGCCTCGTTTTCGCACACACTATGATAGTACCTCGGTTCCGGGGCTAATGCTCAAGTTAGGTAAGCCACTTTCTGACCTCGGAGGGCCTCATTTCCTCAAGGTGATCATTAAACCTGTCTGTAGAGTTGGATGAAAGCGTATGCACAGGGCTGGGCACAGACCAGGGAGAGTTGTGAGGCATGACATTAAGTAGTGTGTCCTTTATTTTCACTGAATTGGATTCATTACACTCTGGAGGCTGGCTCAGGATGGAATCTTCTACAAAGTGAAGGCTTCTTCCATTCCCAAAGCCATTAGTGGTCCCATGAGCTATTTCTGATCTCCAAATCTGGACTCAGACCCAGCCTCAAAGCCAGGCTGGACCCCATCTCCTCAGTGTTTTCTCTAATAGTGTGCTCTTCTGTTTGAAAATCGCTTTGCAAAGACTCTCCTAGGTTGGGTGTATGTGGGGCAGGGGTCACAGGGCTGGAGCTGGGTGAGTGGCAGGTGGCAGTGGTGGCCAGATGGCGTGCCAATTGCTCCAAATCCTGACTGCCTTCTCCTTTTCTGTTCCTAGCTGCTCCTGTATTAGCACATGCCTCCTCCAGTCCCGATGAAGCGTTAGATGACATGGATTTAAGAATCAAAGGTAGCCCCCAGACCAGAGTCCCTGCAGTAGACACATGGCCCTATAGCAGGAAGACCCTGGGATGAGAGAGGCCTGGGGATCTCTAGGAACCTGTTATGTGGGTTTCTCGGTATTGAAGTGGAGAAGGAACCCTGGCCACCCATTCACTACTCCATCCCTCAACTCCCCCCACCTCCAACTCCTGGGGAGGGGATGCCTAAACCCAGACTTTTTCATCTTTCAGAAACAAGCCCAACAGCCCTACTACCAGGTAAGTTGTTAGCCCCCTCAATCCCCTTCCCCATCCCTGCCCCCCGGATTTCCCAGCCTGCCCCAGGAACCTCATCTGCTGTCCCAGCCCCCATCCAGGCTCCTTTTGTCATCCTGCCTCTGCCTGGCCAGAGCGTGGAAAAGCTGTGTGTGGACATCAACCGCTCTCAGGGGCCAATGAGCCTGCTCTCAGACCCTGACCAAGGTGAGACCGTGACCAGTTATCCATCCAGAGAAATCCAGATACACTACTAAGCCCCACCTTACCACTCTGCAGACACACTTGCCCCGTGTGGGCCTGTCTGTCCCGGGTTGTGGCATGGTCACGCCCCTGAGCACCGACCCTTGCACTCATACATCTACCCCACAGGGCTTTTGCTGGGCACCACATACGCAGGTCTGGGTGGCCTGGCACTTCAGGGTGACCAGATGTAGGCTTGACCCCACGCATAGCCATACTTCAGGGGTGGAGAGGCAGCCTGAGTGATGGCAAGCACAGCGGCTTATAGTCAGTGCCCAGAGTGACGTGGAGACAAGCCCAGAGGAGGAGACAGGGGCTGTTTGAGGGACAGGGGAGGCTATACAGGGTCGCACATGAGTGACTGGGCCTTGGCAGACAAGTGGGGTTTCACTAGGAAGAGGAAGGGGTTGGCAGAAGCCCAGAGCCCTGAAAGATAGTAGTGGGACCGTAGAGAGTGTGGAGGAGACGAATGGCAAGAAGAGGGAGCTGTGCTGACCAGACCTGCTCCCCGCCCCACAGAAGGGTCGTACTGGTTGAGCTGAGGTGTCAAGTCCGATGTGGGCATGTACAGTACTCAGGGTTGCTCACACAGGGTCTCCCACTTCCACACACCAGGCCCTGAGTCTGTTTGCTCCCTGAGGGGGGGACCACTGATTTTCCATCTCACTCCTGGCCATGGCGCCTAGTTCAGGGCAAGGCACACTGCAGGGGCTTTATAAATTAGCTTCAGACAAGATCGCCCTCCTCAGAGGGCTCATCCGAATGTGTCCTTGACTGAGGATTTAGGGCCCTTCCAAAGTCAAGTGCAACCAAGGGACGAGAGCAAAGATCGTGGAAACCAGGTCCCCATGTGAGGGAATACTGGGGAGGGGACACTGAGCAGAGGAGTTGGTGAAGGACCTCCTGGTCAGGCCAGTGCCTAGCTGGGGCCATGGCTCTGACCTCTCTGCTCTGGCTCTCTCAGGTCTCGAGGTGACTGGCCAGTATGACATGGAGAAAGCCCAGTTCTTATGGATAGAGGTGACCTTCAAGAAACCCCAGCTGCAGGTCCACGTGTCCCCTGAGCATGTGGTAGTGACTCGGGACCGAAGAAGCTCTGCATATAAATGGAAGGAGACGCTGTTCTCGGTGATGCCCAAGTAAGCCTCAGGCTGGGTACCAGCAATGACCTCTCAGGCTGTGTTAGCTGGTGACAGTGCTGACAGGTGGCCTGAGGCCACGGGCTTGGGGATAGAGTGGTTGGGCTGGCATGAGTCCTCTGCAGTGGGCTGCCCCCACCGGTTGGGCAGAGCCCTGCACCATACCCCTTCTGCTCTGGAGTGCACCAAAGGGTTGTCCTGGGGTCCTGGCTGCCTTCACACCTAACCCAGGTCGCTCTCCTGTGCAGGGGGCAGTGCAGTTTGGAGCTAGCTCTGCTGCTAATCCTGTGTGACCCGGGGCAGGCTGCTTAGACCCTTTTAGCCTCAGTTTCCTCACTCATAACTGGGGAGAATCACCCCAAGCCTGAGTTAGAGGCTAAGGGGGGACCCAATGAGAGAATGTGGCCAGGGAGCACTTTGCTCATTAGAAGGGGCGGTGCCCACTGGGCATGCTGGAGGGCAGCTGTATGCGTGGTAAGGCGCTGATGACAATAAAGAGAAATTGGAAGGCACTGTCCACCAGGGGGAGGTTAGGAATGTCATTCTTAGCATACTCCTGAAGCTCTGATGAGGAGAGACATGTCCATCTGGCATCAAACACCTGGCAGCTGGCAGGTAGTGGAGGTGAATGGGGACCTCTTCTGGGTAGGGCTGCCTCGCCATCCAGCCTTCCAGAGGCAGCTTTCTGGCTCCAGAAATCACGAGGGGCCTGGGGGAGAGGCCGAGGCCTGCCCTTTTGGAGCACTGCCCTTCGAGCCCCCAACCTATGCTGAGTACACAGAGGCTTATCTGTTCCCTCCAGCTGAGCCCCTCAGCAGACGGTGGTTTCTACTTGACAAATGAGTGAGCACCTAGCAAATCTGAGGGGCTCACCTGAAAACCCCCCAGTTTCATAAAAGATCTTCAAATTTCCTGTTATCTGATAAATACACAAGGCACTTCTCTGCCTTGGATACACACCAGAGGATAGAACAAAAAATTCCCATTAATCGTGGTGACAGAGTCCACACATTTTCACGAACTGCAGAAGATCTTCACGAAGAAAAATAGACCACGCCTCTTACATTGAATCGCGTCAAACCTGTGTAAACCTAGTGTAAGTCCATTTATGATAACCTCAGTGTAACAGCAGGGTCTGATTCAACATGCTTGAAGGGTCCCTAAGAGAACCAAAAAGGTAAGAATTTCAAAGATTATTTCAAGTAAAAAAGAAGGTGATAGAATGAGAAGAGACTTGCCCTTCTAGGCATTAAACATACAATTAAACACTGACCATCAAAAGAAAGTGGCAAAAAGGACAGAGTAAATGTGTCAGATACCCCCTGGAATCACATAAAATGAATTAATGGGAAACCGAATCTAAGAAAAAGGGAAAGGAATCATTATTTTGTTTTATAAGTGCTGGGATCACCAGATGTTATTAAATTAACTTTGGTCCCAGTTTACTGACGAGGAAATTGAAGCTCAGAATATTTAACGGACTTCCCATCCAAGACCACAACAGGAATTCCTGAGGACAAGAGGGCGGCCCCTACCCACTCCCACCCCAACTGCCAAGGTCCCCTGAGGGTGTCTCCATGCCTACCTTGCTCTCAGGGCTCGGTTTCCCCACAGCCTCAAGATGACCATGGACAAGGCAGGGCTCCTGCTGCTCAGCAGCCCAGACAAAGTGACCATCGGCCTGCTGTCCTGGGATGGCCCTGGGCAGGGGCTTCGGCTGCTTCTGCAGGACACTGACCGCTTCTCCAGCCATGTCGGCGGGATCCTTGGTATGCCGCCCGTGGCCCTGGCTCAGGGCATCCTCAGAACCACCTTTGCCTGCGAACAGGCAGTGACCCCACCTCTGTGTATCTCCCAGTCCCAGTGTCTTTATCCCTCACTAACCCACCCTTTATCTCGCAGGCCAGTTTTACCAGGACGTGGTCTGGGGGCCCACAGCAGCAGCAGATGACAGCAAGCGAACACTGAGGGTTCAGGGGCATGACCACCCTGCCACCAGGTGACTCCACATAAACAGGCCAGGAGTGGGGAGTAGGAGGCTAAGAGCTAGTCTCTGGGGGCCTCCACTCCCCTGTCCTTGCCCGGGAACTAGAAATAGTCAGGTGAAAGGTTGATGCCTTAGACATGTCTGACCCAGCTCTCAGCGTGACCCCACAGAGATGGTCAACTCAGACCCACAGAAAACACACCAGCCAGAGGTCACTAGGGTGAGTTGGGGGCAGTAGGAAACTCCCTGAATTCTCAGAGCCCTGGACCTTGGACACCACATGCAACTGGGTCCCCTTGGGTGACTGAGCCTTGTCAGCCTGTGCTGGAGGGAATTCTAAGGGTCCCTGAAACTCTACCCTCCACGTTCCTGTCCCCAGCTCTCTCCCTCTCTTCCCATCACACCTGAGATTTGCTAACCACCTATCCGTCTGTCTGTCTGTCTATCCATCCATCCCAGAGAGCTCAAGCTGGATTACCAAGAAGGGACCCCGGGAACAGAGATTTCCTGCTGGTCTGTGGAGCTATAGTCTTGACGAGAGGAGTTATATCCACCCACCCCCGTGCACCCCACTGCGTGCAGATGGCTGCCATCTTGCGACCACTGGGCCACCTGTGGGGCCTGGACCAGGATGGGGAGGGGAGTTGCACTCATTACAAATAAAGGAAAGTGATGTGAGCCCAGGGAGTGGGCGTCTCTGGTTCCATCCAGCCAAATCCCAGGGCTGCAGAACTGCATCCTGAACACTTAGCATTGTGTAACATTAGAATCTTTCACTATCAGCCCCTCAAAGGCCTGTGGCCAATAGGCCCATGAAGAGCTTTCAGTCCAGTCCCTTCATTTTAAAGGCGGGAAACTAAGATTTAGAGAGATTGAACCACCCATGTGAAATGTCACTCCAGCCCCCAGCTTGGGGCCTAGGACAGGAAAACATTCTCTGGGAGCAGAGGTTGAGTTTCAGTCCATGAAAACCAGTTTTGACTCCCCCTTCCCCCACCAAAAATAATGAACTGGGTAGAAGTTCTCTGCAAGCTTTTGGGCCCCTTTCCAATGGGACTTGCATGACACAATTTGATTTTCACACCTGTGCTCAGGAATAAGCCTGTCTGCTCACCACCCTGGAAGACAGAGGAGACGGACATGGGGCCCCCGTCCCAGGAGGGAAGCCTCTGTTTCCAAGGCCCTCCGATCCCATGGGGATGACCCAGGCTCCCAACTCTAAGTCCTCTCCTATCCATGCCCCAGGGTTAGGCACCCCAAAGATTCCTCCCAATTCCTGCACAGGCAAAGCATACTGAAAAAGCATTATAGCCCTGGCCAGGTGGCTCAGTTGGTTGGAGTGTCACCCCATACACCAAAAGGTTACAGGTTCGATCCCCGGTCAGGGCACATGCCTGGGTTGTGGGTTCCATCTCCAGTTGGGGTGCATGCAGGAGGCAACTGATTGATGTTTCTCTCTCACATCGATGTCTCTCTCTCTCCCTTCCTCTCTCTCTCAAAACATCAATAAAAAAGTATATCCTTAAGTGAGGATTAAAACTATATATATTTAATTAAAAAAATTCAAAACAAAACCCATTTATAATTACTCCACGTAGTTCTTTAAAAAATGATAAATCTTTGTCTTACAAGTAAAAATCATAAAGAGAATAAAACCAAAACCATGAGAGTAAGAGAAGAGCCGAGCAGGAGGAGCGTTAGATGAGTGACACCCACGTAGGGAAGCCCAGCAGCACAGAGCTTTGCTGAGCGTCCTGGCAGCCAGAGGAAAGCAGAAAATGAGCTCATTTGCTTGCTAAGAGGAAGCAAACCAGGTCATCAGGGAAAACATTCTTTTCCCAGCTCTTGAGCTCTGCAGGGTGTTTACTGAGTGAGTCTTTCTAGCAGGGTCAGCGGAGGCCAGTGGGAGGGGCTCCAGCAGCAGGTTTGCCAAATGCTAGGGAACACTCTCCGTCTGCCTCTCCGGCAAGCCTGGTTGGCTGGCAAGAGCCTCAGGCTAAGTTGCTGTGAGAAAGGGAGCAGCCTTGGGGGCTGTGTCAGACTTGCTGTGGGGCTAGCTCTAAAATACATACCAAGGTGAGAGAGGGGTGTCCACCCCAAACTTGTCCCCCTGGGACACCATCACCTGGGCTGGGCTGTAGAATTTGTATAAGAGCATAGGGGTTGTGGGTGACTTTCTGGCCCAGCAGGTGTCCTCTGTGAACAATTAGAAGTAGGTCCATGCCCTTCATTGTTTTATTCACTGAGTGCTTTCCAGCACCTTCTCAGGCCAGGCCCTGGGCAGAGTGCTGTGGATACATTGAGCACCATGACAGACACAGTGCCTGTTGTGACAGCTGTCACTCAGAGAATGACCAAGTGCTTCAGGGAGTTCAGAGGGAGTCACCTTGTTCTACCTGGGGAATATCAGGGAAGGCTTCCTGGAAGTGGCATGGTTGGGGTTGAGTTTTGAAGAATAAAGAGATGTCAGCCTAGTAGAAAAGGAAGGCAAGGACACCAGGCCTAGAGCCAGGACATTGTGCATTCAGTTTGGGGGGTGGGGTTGATGAGGAGGGGGTGCTGGAGAGGTGGAGGAGCAGGGCCAGGCCAGCACTGGCTGTGTACACCTTGCCATGAGGCATGACTTCTATCCTGAAAGCCAGGGGAGCCATCAGAGGCTGTAGACAGGGACAGACACAGCCAGAGTGACGTGGGACTGGGGGGAAAACAATCTGCCTGGAGTTGGCCTGCTTAGAGAGCTTCCCTGACTGTGCTGGGGGGGGGAAGGGGCAGATTTGGGCTGTGAGCCTCCTCTGCCTTTCTGCCAGCCTGCTGGGCTGTGCTGCTAGCTGGAGCAGCAGGACAGAGGCAGGTACTTCGGGAGGACCAGAAACCATATGATGATGCCTCTTCACACCCTCCATCTGACCTGATCTCTCTCCCCATTTCACAGATGTGAAAACTGACCTCAGGATGCTGGTTTAAAGCTACATGGCTCCTCAGCCCACCTTGGATGGAATGGGTGGCAGGGCTTGCCTACTTTAGGATGTCCCTTCCCGGGCCTGGGCCCTTTTTGCCAGCCCAGCTTGGACACCTGCCACATTCACTCTGGAGTCATGTCTCATGTGACCTTCTCCCTGGAGCAGCAACAGCGCCAGTCCACAAGTTGCCCCTCGTAGACTCCTGGGGCAGGGGGGTGGGTGTCTCCTCTGATGATAAATGTTTCCTCCTGGACTGCCCCCAAATACCCTCTTCAGGACACCAGGCTGGTGTCCCTAGGAAATCCAGAGGGGCCCCTGGAGTGGGAGGTAGGAAAACCTCCTCGTGACCCACGACCAGATCCCATCTCCACCCCTACTGGCATCCATGATCCTTCCCAATCTGACTAACCTCCTCCAGCCTTATTGTGTCCCTTGCTGTGCCACTGAGCAGAGCCGCCCACTGTTTCCTTCAGTGGGTTATCCTCTACCCAGCACACCCTTAGCACCCCGGGCAGAGAGAACAGCAGAGGCAAAGGATCTGGGGTAGGAGGGGTTATGTTTGCGGAACTGGAAGCTGTCTGTGTGTCTAGAACCCAGAAAGTAAGGAACAACGCAGGTGTATGGAGTTGATGAAGCTGAGAAGCCATAGGAAGGACTTTTGTCTTTGTCCCAGGACCAATGGATGGGAGATGTCATTGACAGGGTTTTAGGCAGGGAGCAGTGATTGGTTCTGCTCTGTAGAAACCTCTCTCTGGACACAGGGAGACTCAGGAAGGGACAGTTGCAGTTGTTCAGGTGGGAGAGGCTCTCAGAGCCCCTAGTCCAGGAACCAGTCTGACCTCTCACCTCACCCAGGACTTGTGAGGGTATAGCAGGTGGTCACCCTGGAATGGGGTGTGATTGGAGGATCCCAGGGATCCCCAGTCCAGCTGAAGCCAAATTTGAAGCACCCATGCAAAAAGAAATGGATCACTAAGCTGTGTGCCCTCTGATCCTAGCCCAGAATGTTGGGTTTATCTGCTGAAAGGATGGGTGGTTGGTGCATGGATGGATAGTGGGAGGGTGGGTGGATGGATGACATCTACAATTAGCTGCAGGCTGTGTCTTCCCTGGAACACTGCTTCTCAGTCATAGAAGGACCTCCAGGCCTGAAGGTCCTGATAGAAGGTCCTAAGCCAGGACCCCTGACTTTTCTTACGACCCTTTTGGACTCTGAAATCCACTCAGCCCTTCCCAACTTCTCAGAGACCCTTTGCTTCAGAGTCAGTTCTTCTTTTTTTCCTTCCCCAACCATCATACATTGGACTCCGCTACCCCAACCAGCCCTGTCTTTCAGCTGCATTGCTGGGGAGGCCCAGGAAGTTGCCTTCCTAGCAGGCAGCCCCTCCTTTGAGCTGCCTCAGGTCCCGGCTGGTGTTCCCCAGAGCAGGGGCTCAGAGAGGCATGCAGAGGATGGCAGCGGTCTGGTCTCCACCTTGGCCTTTATTGTTGAAGCCCTCCCTCAGGCCTGGCTCTGTGCCCCTGTCCCAGATGCCAGGCCAGCTGGGCCGCCATCTCAGAACAGGCTGGAGACAATGTAGTCGCTGTGGACCCCATCAATCAGCCCATAGCCGTTGTTGTGGACGAACCAGCACTTCACCAGCGTGCCATTGTTGACATCCTTCCTGTAGTCTTTCTGGAAGCCCCTGGAGAAAGGAGAGAGCTGCTGTGATGCACAGGGTAGGCGGATGGCTGCTATGCTATGGACCTAAGGTTGGAAAAGGGTGTGATGTTGCCAATTCTAGGAGTCCAGAGCTCTGGGCAAGAACGAGGTTGCACAATGGCTCCTTCTAGGGTGCTGCTGAGTTTGGCCTTTTCCTGATTTGGAGAGGCCTAGAGGGGCCAAGAGCCCAGAGGGAAATGAGGGCACCCCACAGAAGACAAGAGCCTGCTGGGCCGACGTGTGTAGGCAGAGAGGGCTCTTTCCCCCTGGCTTGTTACTGGGCATGGTGAGGATGTCAGGTGAGCCCTTCACCTGGTGACTGTCAGCCGATGCTTCTTTACCACCATTGTGGCATCTGGCTTCATGGGATCAGCGCCTGGGCGGAGGTCAGACACTCTAAAATCAAAGAAGCTGAAGAATTGTCCTGGGAATAAAAGCATTCACACTGTCAGCCCCTGCCACGGCCCCAGGAAACATGGCCACTGGCCTTCCAGGGTTAAGGCAAAGGGTGCTGCGTGCGGGGTCTGGGGTGGGGACGGCCTTTCACGTGGCTTTTCCCTCTGCCCTGTGCATAGCCTGAAGCTTGAACGTTCCATACCCAGCAGCCCGTGAGTCAGTGCTGACATCCGGTGACTGTCCACCACATAAAATCCCAGGTAGTCAAAGCGGACGGGATTTTTCTTCCACACCTGGTGCAGAACCACCACAAAGGTAATCCCCTCTCCAAAGGACACCACCATGTTCTTCCTGTTGATCATCACGGAGAGCCTGGGACAGAAGAGGAGGGCAGCAAGGGGCACAGTGGCCATGACACCTGGCATCTGAATCAAGGACATCTCAGCAGGGGCACCTGAGAGCACACAGGCTCCGGAAACTATCTCGGGTGTTGGAGAAAAGACGTGTCATGCGTGCCAACTGTGCCTCCACTGAGTGCATCCTGCTCCTCCATAAGCAGGAAAGGGGCTGTCCTGGGAATCTGGAGGCCTGGGATGGAGTCCCAGCTCAGCCACTGGCTTTCTGTGTGGACTTGGGCAGGTCCTACCCCCTCTTTGAGCCTCTGGGAGTAACACTCCTGCCCTGCCCAACAGGTTCTGGGTAATCTAAAGACATAGGAGAGGCTAAGCAGTTTGGGAACTAGTAAGTTTAGCCAGAGGAGATGCAAATAGGATTCTTGTTATAACCAGATTGCGATTTCTACCTAATATTTTCCATCCATCTAGCCCTTCCCTCCGGGTCAGCCGTATGAACTGTCCAGCTACCAATTCTGGCTCTGACGGGCCCTGGGGGTTGGCTGGGGTCTATCATGGTCATCCTCCCCTAGGGCACAGCCTTCCCTGTGGCCCCTTATAGATCTTCTGCCCTGGGATTTCTTCAAATCCTTCAGGCCTCCTCAGATCATCGGACCACAGTGCCCCTCAGAGGCCCAATAGTGGGGCTTACCGATCCTGTGTGACCGTGACCGTGTCCAGCCAGCTGAAAGTGCTCTGTGCAGCCCCACTCCACAGGGTAATCTTCTCTGGAGTCACCTCTATCCGGAAGTCCATATGAGCATTGGCAATGCCCAGTTTGCCAAAGTAAGTCTTTCCGGTCTTGGAGTTGGAGTTGCTTCTCTTGTCACCAATGATCTGCCCATTAACTGTGAGGCCTGCCAGAGGCATGGGGCAGTAAGAGATCAACAAGATCTGATCAGCTGGCCTTTAAGGATGTGCCTTCCCCCTCAGCCAGACTTGCTGAGAGGTAGCAGAGAGGGGATCCCAAGAAGAGACCAAAACTTCAGAGCAAACCCAATCTATTCCTAGATATTCTTGGGTCACGCTGGCAGCTGAGGGCCCACATTATGGTCCTGTCCCTTGCCTGGGCCAGGGAGTATTGTTCAAGGAAAAACTATTCCCCAGATACAGGCATGTAATCCACATACAAAGATGGGTGCATTATGGGCACAGTGAGGACCTGGTCCGTGTGCCTACCCAGGGGTCTCCAGGCCTTCCCAGGAAGAGCCCTTGGCCCCAGCCCCAGCCTGCAGCCCCCACCTGTGATGGGGTCCTGAATGATGCGTAGTACTGTTCCTGGGTCTTCATCAATGTTGAAGCAGATGGCATCATCTTTCCCTGGGATGTTGATGATGAAGTGGGGGTCCCCATCCACTGAGGGCACATCAGAGAAGCATCTGAGTCCTGGGGCCTCTCACTGTTCTGGGGGCCTCCCCTCACCCTCTAGACAGGCAGGAGGTGCTGGGCCCTGGGCCCTGAGCCTTGCTGCAGGAGGAGCTGGGGAACTCACCATAGTAGGAGGGTTGATAAGGAGACTGGTAGGTGTCTGTGGACACAAAGGGGGAGAGGGCTGAACTGAACAAAGCAGGCCTGGAAACCCACCCTGAGTTTGATTCATGCCCCTCCCTGTCCTGCTCCTAATGCTCACAACACCCCCCACCCCCACCCCCATCCCTTCAGGGTCCAGCCGTCTGCCTGTCCCAGAGAGCTGACTTAGGAAGACCAGCGGGGAGCGCGCGGGGCTGTGCGTGGGCAGGGGGCTGCGGCGGCAGTGTGTACTCACTCAGGTAGGCCACTGAGGGGATCACTGAAAAAAAGCAGCCAAAGAGCAGGGGTGAGCGGGGTCTAGGGCTCCGTCTCCCCAACCCCCATGCCTTCTGCCTGTCTTGGGACTACCGGTACTCAGTGAAATCCCAACACTGACAGAGAGAGGGCAGGGATGGGACCCTTGGGCTGAGGCTGTAGAAATGGGGGCATGCCAAGGGAACTTCTTTCTAGGACTGGTGGTAATATGGCTGTAATTTCACAGCTGTTTGTTGTCCTTGGTAGTAACACTCACGTACACACACACTCATCGCACACATGCACATCAGTGACTACATTTGACAGGGCTATTCTGAGGGGAAAGCAGTGACCCGGTCCAAATGTGCTGCTGGGTAAAACAACCTGTATTGATCGAGGCAAGGCAGGCAAGCAGAAGCTAGAGAAGCTCCCCAGTGTGTTTGAAAGGGCCTCCTTGGTTCTCTCTTTTACCCTCCTCGGACACCCACCCAGCTGCTGGCTGAAGCTCACCTGTATCACCAGGGCCTGTGAGGGAAGAATTTGAGGGATGTGTTAGAAGCCACAGGCTCCTGGGGTCTGGGCCAATGTCATCAACCTGCTGCCTGTCTAACCAGCCCCAGGCTGTGGGCCTCCCAGCAGCCAGCTGTGCTCCCACTGGGTGTCCCCTGGAACTAGGAGCGCCTGGCCTGGCCTGGACCAGCTCTTTGCCTCCCATGCCTCCCAATGTCAACACCCCCACCCCCTGTGCCCAGTTGTGGGGATACTCAGGACTCCGCTCTTGGGGTATGGTGAGTAGGCCTGGTCCCAGCCTCCGGCTCTCAGGGCCTCTTCCTCTCACAATCCCCAGGCGCATGCTCGGGGCCCAACTATAAGGCCGGGAGTGCTGCTGCTTGTCTGACTGAGCCCTTCCCTGTTGCAGCCTAAGTCCCTCCTGGAAATGACCCTGGGCAGGGCACTCGCCCCTTTACTCATATCCCTTTAGAGACTCAGAGGCTCTTATTCACCTCACAGCCCTTGTCCATGCTGATGGCTTCACTCCCTCCCAACACCCTCCCCAGCCCTCGGCCAGTTTTCCTTCAGTGCCCCCTGGACCGGCTGCTCTTCAGTGCAGCTGGGCTTCCCAGCCTGGCCCGTCAGGGCACCCAAGGCCCAGGTCCTAGAGGAAGGCCTCCAACTTCCAGCCTTCACTCTCGGTGCCCACCTTCGCCAGGCTTGTCAGCAATGGCCATCTGGTTGTCACTGTCCTCAGGCTTAGTCACCACCATTGAGGTCAGTGGAGTCACAAAGTGGTACTTGAGGGACAGGTCCAGGGCCTGGGCTGTGAGGTTCTCCTTCTCATCTCCATGGGCGTTCTTGCTGTAGGGAGGGGTGTGGTGAGAGGGTCAACCAGAGCTCAGCTCCCTGCCCGCCTCCTCTGCTCTGACTCAGCACCAGACCAAGAGCCCCGGAGGCAGCCTGGGACCCCCTCTCCCCAGGGTAGAGCCCATTAGCGCTCAGTAAAACCTGGTTCTCCAGCTCCCTGGGATAGATGGACAGGCTGTGCTTCCACTCTGAGGGGGCCTCAGTTTCCCCATCTATAAAATATAAGGGGCTCGAAATGGCCACTACAACCGCCTGTCATGACGAGTGCTCAGCAGGTCCCAGGCCCTGTACCAGGAGCTTCACAGGCTAGTCCTACCTAAAAGAAGGCTGGCATGGCCTGTCAAATGGGCCCAGGCTCTGCCCCCTGGGGACTGAGGACCGGGTCCAGTCTCAGCCTCTCCATCACTGCCCCCAACGTCAGCTGGGCTCTGCCCCGGAAAACATTCCAAGGGGCTGGGGGGAAAGAGGGCAGAGCAGCTGGGTGTGTGTGGGGTGCACTTCTGGGGGTATGGCCCAGTCTTTTTCCTCTTGGGTACCCCCAGAGCAGAGCCACGGGCAGGAACAGGGAGGTGCTCGGGCAGTTCCGGGGGCCTGGTGTGGGACCCAGCTATGTGAGGGATGGACCAGGGTCACCGTTTCTCCAGCAGCTGCTCAATGGTGAGGTAGGCCCAGAGCCGCTCGATGTAGTTCCCAAAAATGTAGTCTTGCTCCTTCAGGGCCTTCTCCATCTCCTTCAGGTCCACCTCCTCCGTGAAGGTCAGGTCATTGACAGCCTGGGGCAGGGGTGGGAGAAGGTAAAGGCTTAAGGAATGATGGCCTGGAGCCAGGTGGGCCAGGTCCAGAGGCTGCCACTGCAGGCCCATCAGCCGGGAGGCACAGGCTCCATTGGTGCTTGATCCCCCAGCCCCAGCCCATATCCAGGCCCCAGCCCAGCTCACCCCCTGGCCCTTTACATCCGCCTTAAAGTTGTTCATGTCAATATCCACCAGGCGCCCAGCCACCACGATCTCAGAGCCATCATAGAAGTGCTGGTAAGTGTTCCTGGTGAGGTCCAGGATAGCATTCTCAGGGTACTCCACCTCCACTCCCATCAGCAGCGGGTTGGCCACCTCCTCATAGAAGCCCTGGATTCCAGAGAGGGGACCTGGTCATCTCAGGCCACCAGGGCAGGCGGGCATGGAGAGGACAGTGTGGGAGGGTTCTCACTGCTGCCGCTGAAGGTTGTCGAGCCCCACGGGCTGGATCAGGCCTGGCCTGGTCTCCACTTCTACGTGGCCCTGGCTGTGCCCTTCAGTGTGTGGGAGTCCCCCTCCCCCAGGCAGAGATTGGGAAGAATACAAAAGGTGAAGGCAGAGTTCTTGCACATAGAAAGCACTCAAGGAATGTCTGTTGGAATGAAAGTGAGAAGCAGAGGGGGACCAGAGGAGAGGATGGCTAGAGAAGGTGGGGTGAGGTGGGGTGGGGTGGGAGCANCACGGTAAAAAGATCCTGGGGTTCTGCTGGCTGTGATGCACTCTAAGTGCTGTAAAGAAAGAATGCTAAGATCTAACTTGCCAACATGTCATTCCCCAATTTCTTGGGCTTTCAAAGCCAAGGTTGTGTGCCATATGGTTCCCATTGTGGGGACTGTGTGTACTCCTCAACTGAGCTGGAAGATAAGCATGAAAGCAGATTGACCTGAGTCACTTGAATAAGCATCACGGTCTTGTTGACCTGCTATGTCTGAGAACATTCTCTTGCATCTTTCTTGATGTTCCACCATCTTGGTGCCTCCCCATCCTGGGCAGCAAGGCAGGTCTTCTGTTCTGAACCTCACCCTAATAAGGAGGCCACATTTGTGACTTGAGTGACCATCTATTTTGTATGTCCAGACATCATCTGTTAATTTAACAAGTACTTCTTGAACACTTCTTGGGCCAGGCATTAGGAGACAATGGAGAACAAAGCAGACATGATTTCAACCATATGAAGTTACTTTAGGGTTGCAAGCGACAGAAATCAGGTTTCTGAATGGCTACTGAGGTGTTTTGTGGAATCCAGTAAGGTTTTAGATGACCTTGCCTCCGGAAGGGCTTGAGCCAAGTCAGCCACAGGAACCACAATAGTAGAAGAAGTTCCCTCTAGAATACTGCCGTTGACCTATTTTATTTATTCCTGTTCCTACATCTGTGAGCATCAGTTCAAAAGCACAAAGCTCGAGTAAAGAATCGTCCTATGTCCACCTCAGCTGCAATCATCTCTGAAGGGAGGTGGGGTGGGGTGGGAGCAGGTGGGGGTGAGGTGCAGGGGTCCACTGCAGAGGCGGAGATCCAGTCACCTGCGCCAGGAAGGGCTGGGGTTGCCAAATTTAACAAGTGAAAATACAGGCCATGCAGTTAAATATGAATGTCGAGTAAACAGGAAGTTAATTTTTGTTATAAGTATGCCTGTTATGGAATGTGTTGTGTACCCCCAAAATGCATAGGCTAAATTCCTTACCCCTAGTACCTCAAAATGTGACTTTATTTGGGGAGGGGTCTTTACAGAGGTAGCCAAGTTAAAATGAGATCTTTGAGGTGGACTCCAATCCAGTGTGATTGGTGTCCTTATGAAAAGGGGACACACAGAGAGAATCTGATGTGAAGAGACAGGGAGAAGATGGCCATCTACAAGCCAAGGAGAGAGGACTGGAAGATCATCCCCTCAGAGCCCTAAGAAGGAACCAGCCCTGCAGACATCTTGATCTTGGACTTCTAGCCTCCAGAGCTGTGAGACAGTAAATTTCTGTTGTTTAAGCCACTCAGTTTGCAGTACTTTGTTATGGAGCCCCCAGCAAACTAATCCAGTGTCCTATGCAATCTTTAGGGCAGACTTACACTGAAAAATTACTCATTTTTAATCAGAAATTCATATTTAACCGATGTTCTATATTCGATCTGGCAATCCTGTGAGGGAGCAGATGTGTTCTTTGTAGCCCAATGACAAAACCAGAACCATTGCCGATGGGTAAGAGGTAACCAGAGGTAGATTTCAACTTAAGAGGAAGTTCTTTCTAATAATTGAAATGATCACCTGATGCAACAGCTTCCTGAGGAAGGCGTGAGCTCCTCCTTCCTGGAGGAGCATGAGATAAGGCATACCTGCATCTGCAAGTTGGCATCAGAATCCTCATAAATGCGCCGGGCAAACCCATGGTTCTCCAGGGCCATGCTTTCCAGGAAGTTATAATTCAGATTGTTGCCAAATCCCAGGTTATATAAGGGGAACCTGCCTTCAATGGCCTTCCGCACGTTCTCCTGGATATATTGGGGTCTGCTTTCACCTGCAGGATAAAGGGGTGTTCACACTCTAGCCTCAGCCCTGGCAACTCTCTGGACCTGCTCTCTCTGAAGAGATCTGGCTCCTGCAGGTGCAGAGCTGGTGGTGTCATGGCCATGAGTCCTTGTCATGGCAGAGGGTGGGGAGCTCTGGCAGGGAAAGGCAGGGCCGTGCCCTTGGGCTCACAGTCCCTGGGGGAGCCTGGGGATAGCTGCCCAAGGTCTTGTAACAAGCAGAGTACAGAGCCAAGAGTGGCAGCCGGGCACTGTGGTCCTGCTTCAGAGCCCTAGCTGCGTGCCTCACCCACATTGGCGTCCCCGTCGGTCAGCATGATGACGATGGAGGTGCTCCTCTCCGGGACTATGTGCTCCTCCCGGGCCTTGTTCAGCATGCTGATGCCTGTCAGCAGCCCGTCGTTGATGTTGGTCACTGGCACACAGAGAGCACTGTGTGGGTCCTCAGGGGGCCAGGGTGGAGGAGCTTGGGACATTAGGCCCTGCTCATGTGCCCAAGGACCCTGCCCACCAGTACTTGGTGGTCCTCAGTAAATACTGACTAGTGAGTTGAAGAATGAATGATTTACTCTTTCAAATGGGGGTAAGACCTGCCTCTCAGGGCTGCTGTAGGGACAGAAGCACATGGTGATTGGAAAAACAATTTGGAAAACAGTCAGATGGGCTCCCAGCCCCTCACTGGGAGGAGAGGGCAGCAGTAAAGACATTACTTATGATTCTCCACAAGAAACAGTCAATGATAAGATTTCTCTGTGGCCAGATCTTGCTGGGATTTGTGGAGCACCAGGATCATGGGTTAGACACAGAAAAAATGGGTTTTCTTAGACTGCAGAGAAGACGCCCTGAGATCAAGCCTGAGGACCCCCGCCCTACTCCTACCTCTACCCCCAAAGAGGGTCTGCCAGGCCTGGACCAGCAAAGTCTGTGCCCTTGGGCCGAGGGGGGAGCAGTGGGAGCGTTGCACTCCCCGCTGTTCTTACTTCCTTGGTCACGAATGTTCCTCACAAACTCCCTGGCCTCTTGGATGTTCTCAGGAGTGGCTTGAACTAAGTTGTCTTTCCAAGTGCTCACATCTCCACTGAACAGGATGAAATTCAGGTAGTCATCTCCTTTCATGTCATCCAGTATTTTGAGGAGGGCATCCTTTGTCTGGGAAAGAGAAAGACGGGCAGACAAGAAGCTGGCAGAGGGAGCACCAGACACCTGGTGTCTTCCCAGCCCTGGCTGGTGGCTGGCGGCTGGCGGCGGGGCCCCTGCCACCTGCAACAAAGGGGAGACACGCTTTGTGCCTTTTTTACTGTCCCCCTTCCTCTTCTTTCACTGGAAATACCTGCTTTGTTCACTTAAAAAAAACAAACTGTCGCCCTGAAGTTGGTTGGAGTGTTGTCTCGTACACCAAAAAGGTTGTGGGTTTGATTTCTGGTTCAGGTTCGATCCCCAGTCAGTGCCTCTACGGGAGGCTGCCAATTGCTGTTTCTCTCTCTCTCCCCCCCTTCCCCTCTCTCTAAAAACCTATAAACATATCCTTGGGTGAGGATTTTTTAAAAAATCTCTCCCCCACACCTCTCACCCCACTTGCCCGGAGGAGAGTACCTGCTCCATTTTCCGGCCATACATGGAGCCGCTGACATCAATCACGAAGACCACGTTCTTAGGCACCACGGGAAGGCCTTGAGGTGCAAAGAAGTGCACAAAGTAGCCATTGACGATCTGCAAAGGGGAGAGAGAGGCTGGAGGCCCATGTGTCTTTAGCCACCGCACATTGGCTACCCTTGCAAATAGCAGCAGATATTTAGCTTGCCAAGATGAAGATGTCCGTTCCCACCCTCCGGAGTGTGCCACACAGGCTCTGGGTGGCCTGCCACCCCCGTGCCCTGCAAGAAACTCAACCTTGGACTGAGGATCCAAGGTGATGGCACTAGATGCAGCCACTGCCCCTCCTGCACTAGCCCTCACTCCACTGTGATGTGGAATCGACCAGCCTAAAGAAGCCACTAGGGAGGTACCTGCACGTTGGCCGGAGACTCTCTGTTCACATCGTAGGTGATGGTGAAATCTCCTTTGAGGAGGGAGTCTGTACAGGTTGGGCATGAGCGCTGTTGGTCCAAGCTGGGCTTAAAGGACACTTGGCCCTAAGGGAGGGAGATAGAGGGCCTTGCTCAGCTTTGCCAGGGCGTGCCCACTTCAGGCCTCAGCCCAGGGTTACCTTGAGGGGTGAGGCATAGCTCTCATAGGGAGAAGCCCCGAGGTAGACACCTGGGCAGTCCTGCCACCATCAACATACACTGGCCTTTCTGAGCACCTCTCTCCCCTTGGAGATCAGGGCACCTTGGAGGGCAGCGGACTTGTCTGATTCAGCTTTTGTCTTTCCCTGTTCAGCTAAGTCCGTTAGCTCAGCCTACTTGGCATTCAGCACTGAGAAGCCACTTAGGGAGGGGAGTTTTGCACCATGAAAAGGAACTTCATGTTGGGTGGTATGTGTTGGTGCCAAGAGGAGGGGGAGGGGGAAGGAAGCAGAGCAGGGAGGTGGGAGAGGGCCTAGGGCAGGAGCATTGCCCTGCAGAAGCCAGCAGCCCTCTGAGTGTGTGCTCCTTGGGCCTCGCCCTAGAAGTCCTGAATGATTGAGGTTTGCTATTCATGTAAACATTTATGCATTACAGCCCATGACCAGCAAGACCCTAGAATAGCCAGGGGCCTTGGGGATCATAGTCAACCACCAAGAATAAAGTTCCCTTTCATCTTCTACTCCTCAATGTGGAGTCAGTAGATCTAAATGACTCCCTCTGACCTCAGTCTCCTTATCTGTAAAATGGGCAGTAACCTGCCCTGCCTACCTCCCAAAGTAGAATGAAAACGGGCTTTATAAACGGTTCCCACCACCACCACCACCAGTTCCAGCCCAAGCAACTGGTCAAGCACTTTGAGGTAATCAAGCACCCCTGCAGGCCCTGCTGAAACTGGAGGAGAAAGGAAGGGGGGTTCGGAAAGGGCTGCTGGGGCATGTCAGTTCCTCTGGCAGGTCAGCAGCAGCCCCCAGCCTCCAGCATCCTCACTCCTGACCCGGGTGGCCAAGGAGACAGTGATGGCTACAGACAGACACACTCACTAGCATCAGCCAAGCCCTAGGGCTCAGACTGGTCCTGCTAAGGGTCTGTGTTCCTGCCCCTGCCCCCCAGGCCTGAGAGGCATCTATACCACCTTCTTCCCTGAGAAGGACTTGGTGAGGGCACTTCCCAGGAGGTCATTGGTGATGAATGAGGCTTCAGCATCCAGAGTGCTAATGCCCTGGGGCTCAAAGATGTCTACGTTGATCTGAAATGTCCAAAGGTAAGAAGATGTTACTCAGTGGCAATGCGGAGGCCAGCCTCCAGGACAGTCATGGTGTAGGGACCGGCTTCTGGGACAACTCTGTGACAGCCATTCCTGATGTCTCCCACCAAGAAAATGGCCAGAAGGGCCCATCAATGGTACTCTGACCCCAAAGCTCTCCTACCGCCTGCCAGATGGTATCCAATTTCCACCACTAAATTGTTTACTTTGGGTTTCAGATCTGATGTAGGTAAAGCACCCACATAACCAGTTACTAGCTATACAGAGACACTTTGTGATGTTGCCCCTAAGGGCCCAGCGTCCAAGGATCTAGGTGGGTCTAGCCCAGCCTCCTCCCCTTTGCCCAGCCGCTGTGGCCAGAAACATGGTCATTCCCCCAGCTCTCTCAGCCAAGTGGTGAAGCCCAGACTTCTGTGTTCTTCACCTTGCTCCGAGCTCTGCCCCAGGGGCCCTTCCCCAATCCCCATCCTGTCCCCTGCAGCTTCAGCAGGGCCTGCGGGGGTGCTCGATTACCTCAAAGTCCTTGACCAGTTGTTTGGGCTGGACCTTCAGGTACATCTCGTACTTGCCCTTGTGCCTCTTCAGCAGCTCTTCATACGTTAGCTCGAAGGTGACCTTGCTGCCCGCAGCCACGTTGACCGACACTGTGAATTTCTCCAACTTCCGCCCAGAGGCCCTGAATGGGGGTGCAAGGCAATGACTGCCCTACAGACTGCACAACCCCACCCATCCTGGGCCTTGGGTTCAAGTGCCAGCCCCTTGGGGGAGACACCTACCGAGTCCAAGCCCCAGTTGCGTCAACCTCAAAATGGGACAATGTGAGAATTATGGACACATTTTGCAATAATAATAATAATGATAACTGCTGCCATTGTTGTTTGCATCCCTTGCAGACCAGACATTCTCCCCAAGGTCTGGGGGTCCATACTTACTTGACCAAACCAGCTGTCTTGCCCTGGGACACAGCCTTTTCATACTGCTTCTTAGCGACTTCCTTCTCCTTGACATTCCCAGGGTAGGTGACACCATCGATGGTCCTGCAGGGAAAGAGTTGGGGGGCTCATGCTGGTCCAGACTCCCCTCCAGAGCCCAGAGTCAGCAGCCATGGGGACACTCACAGGGTGAAGTTGGTGATGAAAGCTGTCTTGGGTAGCTCCACGTCAAAGGAAACCTCCTTGGCAGAATCTGCCCGGTTGACAGCCCTCGTGGTGACAACATTGTGAGCAAAGCGGGAGGTCACCTTGCAGCTGATCTTGGTACTGTAGACCTCTATGTCTTCAACCTTCTGTGGGAGAGGGGATGGCAATCAGTGGTGACCTGCCAGCCTGGGCCACTGGGAAACCAGGTCTTCAACCTGGCTACTCCTCTTTCAAGCTCCCTTTACAGATTCCCAAGGGCCCTGCCTGGTAAGTGACCCCTCCATTGTCCCAGTCACTGTGTTGGAAGCCTGGGTGGCCTCCTCCATCCCCATGTTCAGTTGCCCACCACTGTTCTAATGACGGGCGCCCGGGCGGTCCCGATGCCCTCGGGCAGGCGCTGGCCTTTCTGAGCACCTCTCCCCTGGGAGATCAGGGGCTCCTTGGGGGACAGAGGCCTTGTCTGAGTCAGCCTTTGTTCTCCCATTCACTGGGCCCTGCAAGTTCCTTAGCTCAGCCTACCTCGTTGCTCAGCAGCAAGAAGTCACTTAGGGAGGGGAGTTTTGCACCATGAAAAGAAACTTCACGGTGTGCCAAGAAGAGCTGGAGGGGGGAGGAACAAAGCCGGGAGGGGTGAGGGGCCCTGCTCTGCCTCCTTAACTCTATAATCTGTTTCCACGCAGCTTGTAGCCAGCGAGATCTTGTAAAAAGACAAACCTGACCCTGTTCCCCTCCCCCTGAGAACCCTCCTATGCTCCCCATTGTCCTCAGGACAGTGTTTCCCATGGCTCTGAGGTCCTCCAGGCAGGTCCTGCCTCCTCCACTCAAGGTGCTCCAGCCAAGCCAGGTGCCTGCACCTGTGACCCAGTGGGGTCAGAGGCCTGTCCTAGCTCTTCCTGTTCCCTCTCACGCTTCCACTTAGAAAGATCACACTCCATCCTGCTGTGCCCTTTGGTAATCGCTTGATTCTATCTCCCAAACAGGCACTTATTTCTTATTTCCAGTGCTGAGAGGAGTGTGTGGGGCAAGACTTCATGACCCCAATACCGTCTTTCCCACGGGGAGGGGGGTTGGACTGAGGGAGGCTCTAGGGAAACATCTGGGTTAAACATGGATATAAAGATGCTCCGTGAGGGTATGATGGGACCATTCACTGTGTCCCCAGCCCAGCCTAGTACAGGCAACTGCTTGGTAAGTGTTTGTAGAAGGAAGGACTGGTGGAGTGACCGTCCTGAGCTGCATGCGGTGAGGTCCAAGAGGGCATGGTTGTCGCACTCTTTCCTGGGGTCTTGAGTCACATGAAGGTCTGCCAGGGCAGGGGGCTGTGACCTATTTGTCAGCTGTGCGGGGCCTGCTGTTACGGCCCACCTCTTCAGGTCTTGGGCAAGCAGCTCCATCCTGCCCTACCTCACCTCACCCCACCCCTGGTGAAAGTCCTCACCTCTTCCTGGAGGCTCCGTTTCTGCAAAAACAAAGACAAACACAGGGCTCAGGACAAGGGCAAGGCCACTGTGGCTAGGGGACGGGCTCTTGGCTGAGGTCAGGGTTCAGTGGTGCCCCCCCCATATACCTTGAAGGGCTTCTGGACATAGGACCCACCAGGAGCCACATGTCAGAGTAGGAAGGGCTCTGAATAGATGGGGAAACTGAGATCTGGAGAAGACAGGTCTCCAGGCTACCCAGGCGAGCAGGGCAGGGAGAATCAAACCCGGAGCTCTTCCCCTGCTCCATATACCCCGACTCACTCTGCCTTTCCCTGCGCCTCAGGTCCGTGATGCCTCCTCTCAGAGAACCCCGCCACCACTGCACAGCACAGGGCTCAGCCCAGCCCTTCCCAGAGGTCTGTGCCCTTTTCTCGGATGTGGACTGTCATAGCTCCTCAGTGAGGTGAGCAGTTCATTGTGCATCACCCACTTGACAGGTGGGAAAACAGAGGCCCAGGGAGATTTAAGAGCCTTGCCCAGGGTTAAATGGCAAGTTTAGAGCCCAGTTCTCCCAACACTCAGTCCTGTCCCCTGCAGCTCACTACCCAGCCCTCTACCCATGTAGAGTACGACCCAGGCTGGGACCTCTGCCCATGTGATGGACCCAGATGGTGAAGAGGGGACAGGCTTACCTCAAGCAGCCTGGAGGGGCTTCTTGGGAAGCCAGAAGCCACCAAGCCAGAGAGCAGGGCCAAGATGACACAGAGCCACCGAGCAGACGCCATTGCTAAGCACGCAGACCTGGCCCACAGTCTTTATATAAGCCAGCTGACCAGTAGGGTCAGTGACCTACAGCGCAGGGTGGGAGGAGCAGGAGGCGGAGGCTCTCCGGGAAGCTGGGGTGTGGGTGGAGTAACGGGGCCCGGATCTGCCTGAACCAAGGGGGCCCCGTGGGTATTGTCAACAGTGTAGGGACTTCACTCCCAGCGGCTGGGGGACATGGAGACCCTGGGGCAAGCAGAAGCTGTGTGTTGGCAAGTGAGCCCTGGGACTCTCTGGGTGGGGACAATAGTGACAAGGTGTGGAGTCACATTTAAAGCAAACAGCATCTCTCTGCATTGTTGCCTCTTGCCCGCACCACTGGCATGGCCTCTGGATCACAGCCACCCCCTTCTCAAGGCGGCCAGGGCACAGAACCAGACCCATCACTCAAAGGCTCCGATCTCCATGGCTGAAGCCCTCGTTCATTATCCTTCGGTGGTTCTCATGGCCCCAGGGAAAGGACAAACCCCAAGTCTGGTGGTCCAGCTCTCTCTGTGACCTGGCTCCAACTTGCTTTTCTGAACTTTCTCTCCGCCCGCTGGCATGCCCTCCCCTGGTCTGCACATCGCATCCCTCAACTCTGCCAGCCTCAGTGCCCTCCTCCAGAGCCTTCCTCTTTCATCTCCTAGCTGGCACAGGCAACCTCGCTGCATCGTTACCCTGTGTTGAGGTTTGCATGTTTAGGGCTGATCACTGCCCCTGGACTCGGGGCTCCTGGGGGGCCAGGCCATGTCATATTCATCTCTGAGCTCCCAGGGCCTGGGCAATGACTCAGGTGCCCTCAACCTCTTAAACAGTCATTTCCCACCCTGGCAGGGTGGCTCAGTTGGTTGGAGTGTCATCCTGTACACCAAAAGGGTATGGGTTCGGTTCCCAGTCAAGGCATATAATAGAGTTGAGGGTTTGATCCCTGGTTGGGGCACATGCAGGAGGCAGCAGATCGATGTTTCTTTTTCACATCGATGTTTCTCTCTCCCTGTCTCCCTTCTTCTCTCTCTAAAAATCAATAAAAATATGTACTTGTGTGAGGGTTTACAAAAAAAATAATTTCCCAAAAGTCTCCAATGAGGCTGGAGCTCTGGCCTCCGGGACAATGTAAGCTTCAGAGGCCAGGTCTGGTCCCCTTGAAGTGGGGAATGAGACCTCCTGGGCCACACTAGGGCCCTGCCAACCCTGAACCTTCCAGAGTGCTGGCCATGTGCCTGCCAAACCCATGCTCTTCTGAGCAAAGTGACCCAGTGACTCTCCCACTCAGTCACTACTAAATGGAGTTGATAAGGATGCCTGGGCACAGGGCCACTACTTTCTAGATTGTATTATGGCCTTGGCTGAATGTTCTGTACTTCACTGTGAGATGTATAGAGAGAGTTGACTGCTGGGAACAGAGGAACAGAGCGAGAAACCCCCTCAACCCCAAACACTTTGAGTTTTGTGGGAGGGACAACTTGAAATAGCAGTTCTGAGGCTGCTCAGGAGGCTTCTGAGGGACAGCTGGGGACTTGGGGGACCTAGAGTCATTATGCAGAATTTAGAATTAGGTAGAATCTAAGAGCTCTTCAGGCTTACCCATTTCCTCTCTGCAGGAGGGGAAAATGAGCCCGAATTGGGCAGAGCCTTGCTCAGAGTGACGAGCCAACTGGCCACCCACAGCTTTCCCTTGAGAAACCCAGGATACTCCAGACAACAGGTCGGTCTCTGAAACTCTATTGACTGCCCCCCAGCCTGCCATGGAGGACTCTGTGTTCCCTGGGCCTGGGGCATTCGTGGAGCTCAACATTTGTTGATCTGGGACCTCATGGGCCTCATGGAACTGAACAGAAGCCAGCAGAAACCCTTTGGAAAGGAGTGGAGTCCCATCAACTTTCACCTGAAGGGCCAGCAGCTCCCTGAAGTGTAGGTTCACCTCCCTGCATCCTTTGACATTGCACTTTAACTGGGCCCAAGGCAAAGCCATGGAAAGGAAGGAACCCTGATGGAATATTCCAGGAATCAGTGTGAGGAGCCGGAGGGCTGCTGTTCCTGGCCCCTGAAATCACAGCTTCTGAGCAGTGGCCATTTCTGCCTTTGGGAAATACTCTCTCCCTGTCAGAGGTTGTAAACCCCCCACTGGGCAATCACCATAAGGGTGGGGGGCAGGAACTGCCTCCTGAGGCCCCACCCCAGTGGGTGCAGCCTCCGGCTACTGCTAGCACTTCTTCAGGACCAAAGCCCATATATATTTCATGTTTCTTTCATACATTCACTTTAAGTGATACTTTGGAATATCTGGAACCAGATCCCATGAGGCTTTGGCTACCAGTTACCCAGCCTGAGTGGAGTATTGATATGGGGGTAGTTACACACTCACCTGCTGACTCCAGACAGGATGGGTTCAAATCCCAGCTCTGCCACTTAGAAAATGAGTGATTTTGGACAAATTACCTAACTTTAGTTTCCTTAGCTATAAATGGGCCTGATAAAAGTCTTGCCTAGCGCTGCTGGGAGCATGGATTGAATTAAGTCAACTAAGACACTTAGAACTGTGCCTGGCTACAGGAAGCACTGAGTCAGCAGTGGCTGTTGCTGGTCATTCCTGTGCATGTTGCTAGTGTCATTTGGTCCCTGAACCTGTGGGATGAGCTGTGTGCAGGGTACGCTCAGGGCATTCAGAGGGCAGGGGGCAGGTGGCGGCAGAGAACAGGGTGAGGTGCGGGTGAATTAATATGGGCTTCCTCCAGGCCTCCAGGTCTGCCGTGACCCCCGAGTCTCTCTGAGGGGCAGCATCTTGAATTGCCTCCCTGCCATTCTCCCTTCCACAGAGCAGCCAGCCTGGGAGGGACATAATCTCTCTTTAATGGAAGTCATGGGTGCTTCCACACAGGGGACCCCTTGGACAGGGAGGTGTGGTCTGGGCAGCAGGTCAGGGTGCTGTTCTCCTCCAGGACAGGACAGGCATGCTGGCTGGGGGCTCAGAAGATGTCAGGGACTATATAGTCAGTGTGAACACCATCGATCAGTCCTGCTCCATTGTTGTGGACGAACCAGCAGGTCACCTCGGCCCCGTGCCGGGGGTCCTTGCTGTAGTCTTTTTGCAAGCCCCTGGGGAGAGACAAGTCAACTTGGGATCACCTTTTGGACCCAGCACAGCTACATCTCCCAGGAAGCCCACCCCACCCATGTGACACCAGGAGGAAGGCCTGGACCAACAATGGGCAATGTCAAGGACAGAGATGCTGGGAGAGTAGCCCACCCACCTGGTGACCGTAAGCCTGTGGTTCTTCACCACCATTGTGGCATCTGTTTTTGTGGAGTCAGAGCCGGGGTGGAGGTCAGACACTTGATAATCAAAGGGGTGAAAGAATTGTCCTGGAAAGGCACATTGGAGGCAGCAGTTACCGGCAGGGACCCTTGCTCATGCCTTGCATTTAGTGGTGCTCACTGGAGGTTTAAAGAGTTGCTTGAATATTTTCAAGGGCTTGACTGTTTCTGATAGATTTTGGCATCAAAGCCACTTGTTTAGTTCACCTGCTATAGAGAAGCAGATATACTGTCAAGTGGTTATACCTCCTGTCTTTTGGGGCCAATTCCAAAGGAATCTGGCTGGGAGAGAGGTTTGGTGGGTAGGTGCCCACAGAGAACAGGGTCTGCAGGTAGGTCACGAGGAGACGCAGTGTAGCTGATGACCCATCCCACCCAGGAGGTCTCTGGGAGCCCAGTTTCACTGTGTTTGATCGCAGCCTTTTTGAGGGACAAGACCCTCACCAGGACAAGCCCTCTTTGGATCTCTGAGCCTTGGAGGTCATGTTGGAGGTGAGCCTGTCCTGATGCCCAGCTGCAGGACTGACCAGTCCACTGGCTTCAAAGCCCCACCCCCACAGCTCTGCCCGCCTGCTCAGCCGTACCCAGCAGCCCGTGTGTCCGCGCAGACATCCGGTGACTATCCAGCACGTAGAAGCCCAGGAAGTCCTGTTGGATGGCACTCCCCTTCCATACCCGGTGCAGGACGACCTCAAAGGTGCCTCCATCATCCACAGACACCACCAGGTTTCTCTTCCTGTTGATGGTCACCACCACCCTGCAGGGGCCATGGGGACATGTGTAGCTGCACTGCACCCCTCTCCATTTAGCCACCCTTGTCCTCTGGACCCAGCTCTTATGACCCTCCTACTCTCACCCCCAGATGATTGGGTGTTACCTGCTCTATGCTTCTAGAATCCCACATGTTGCTATTATATGTAAGGGTCCTTGCAGTGTGCTAGGGCCTGTGCCAAGCCTTTTAAGCAAACTGCATCATTCAGTTCTCGCTCTGATCCTGTGAGGACCGAAGCTCAGAGAAGTTAAGTAATTTGCCCAGGGTCACACAGCTATAAACAGCAGAGCCAAGACTTAGACTCCAGCCTGTCTAATGTCAGAGTCTGTGTTCTTTAACTCCCACTTATCGCCTCTTCCTACAGCTCTGCTGCCCAGCATTGGGCACTGGTGCTCAGAGGAGTTTGTTGAGTGAATGAAGGTGTGAATGAAGGAACAAACATGAGATAAGGCAGGTACTGAAAGAGAAACCTGGAGAACTTTAGAGTTCAGCAGAGGGAGAGACTAGGAGTTCTTCCTGGAAGAGGTGGCCAGCTTTGTTTGGTGGATATAGGGTGGACTGCAGGGCGAGGGTGCCACGGGAACACAGGCATCCAGGCAGCTAGTCCAGAACATGTATCCAGAAATTGAGGGGAATGGGATTGTCCATAGGACCCTACACGTCTTCACAGCCCACATGAAAGCCACGTGACATCATTCAATGACATGGCCCAGGGGACAAGGGCCCAGCAGGCTCAGGCAGCAGAACTGGCTCTGGGGCTTCTGTCTTGGCCCCCACCACACCTACCCCTGCCTCCCTGCCCAGACCCCAGTCTCAGCCTGGTTACCCATCCTGCCGCAGCGAAGCCTGGTCCCTCCAGGAGAACACAGGTCCATGGGAGCCAGAGTTCAGTGT